CTACGAAAATCCTAATATTTACAAAGCTACAAGGCTCCTTTTTAGCATTAATGCTTATATAATTACTTCCAAGCATTCACATTTAGTAATATAAAAATTTTCTGCTTAGCCGAAGTCATTGCACTTTCAAATTCATAAATATTTGGGACGTGATATCTTCATGTCTCTGAAATCCACTTTTTATGCCTGAAAACTAAACAGTTACCATATTTTTATCAATGTTTCTTATTGAGAAGATAGTTAATATGGAATTGAAATATAGAAATAACTAACTTTCTGCCTTTGAACACAAACCAAAACGTAATTCATTGTAAAGATAAGAGCAAACAAAGAAGAAAATGCTGAATGCAGTTTCGTTGGAGCTAGCGTAACATCGTCAAAGCATGACTGTTGCGATAAACATAGCAGAACATGTAGTAGTTCATGTGCAAATTGGAATATGAGGTCTAATGAAGAGAGTTAGAGCGTTGTTTCTATCACAATGGCGGGAAGCAAATGAAGACCGTTTCATTTCCTTTTGTTTAGCATACACATACCCTGAATTTAAAAACTTAACGGGTTTGTCCTATATATGTGAGGCCATACTCTAAAGGAAATTTATCAAAATCAAATTCCTTAGTTTCCTGTTAACGAAAGTTCCAATATTTCGTTTTTTATAAATAAAAATACAGTTTTATTAATAGGTTTTAAGAAGACTATAAAACCATCTGTTTCAAACATTTAAAAGGAAATGAGCAAGTTTAACGATGAACGGCTGATAAAAGGGTGGAACTGAATTGTCATTATTTTAAATGCTTAATCATTCAAGAAGCACATATATTTTTAAATCTTTCAGTCTGCTATACTTGTAAGGAATTTTTATATCCCTTAAAGCGTATTCTCGTGTTAAAAGTGATTAACACGTTTATCTGACGATTATAAGATCCGTGGTTCAAACCCCTATGAGGCCTAGGCTAATTATCGCGTTTCTTGTCCCGTAAAAATTTAGACTCTCAGTGGCGCTCGAACTCAAATGTGTATTCGATAATTCATAACTGCCAAAATTTGGTAGCAGGCTTGGTTTAACGTGGACTAAGTTCTAAATTTTCTTTAAATTGTGCAAATTGTATAGAACTGATGCATTTAAAAGTTCAAAAATGGTTGGTAAGAAGAAGAACTGTGCTGTGTACATTATGCTTATGCAATGCGAACAATTGGAATTGGCTACTCAGCAATGAAACTATTTTGTGGTATCATGGATCTTCCACATCCAGTATCGAAAAAAGCATACAATGCTATAGTAAAGAAGTTTATGTCGTGCTCAAGTAATGCGGCACAACAATCCATGCAAAATGAAATGCTGCTTGCGAAGAAGTTCAGCTAACAGATTCTTCGAATGTTGTGGTTAGCGGCGATGGTTCATGGAAAACCAGGAGTCACACATCACAAATAGGTGTGTGTACCGTTATTGGAGATAAAAATAGTAAGGTTCTCGACACAGAGGTTCTTTCATCTTTTTGTAAGGCATGTGATACATGGAATTCCATGAAAGGATACCAGAGTATAATAATACTGGCAAATGAAACATGAGGCGGAGTGTCTTATGAATCACAGTGGTTCTGCGGGTAAAATGGAGGTCGTCGGTATGGTTCGAATTTTCCAGAGGTCAGAAACGAAGTATGATGTTTAGTATATTGGATACATAGGCGATGGAGATTCCAAGACTTTTCAATCTATAACAGAGGCCCAGCCCTATGGTTCTAATGTGTCCGTTTCTAAAATCGAATGGTTCGTATATATTCAGAAGTGAATGGGAACGCAGCTCAGAAAATTGAAACTGAAAGGTATTAAATGTGCAGATAGAAAATTTATTGGAGGAAAAGGTCGCTTTACTGTTACAAAAAGATGAAAGAACCTCTGTGTCGAATTGCATTACCAACAGATACAAATTGACTGTTGGTAATGCAATTCGAGAACACAAAACTTCTTTGGCGGAAATGCGTAATGCTATATGGGCAATCTATTTTCACACACGGTCAACTGATGTCGAACCGCTGCATACTTTTTGCACAATAGGTCCCAATACTTGGTGTAAATACCAAAAAGCTGTAGCAAATGGAACTGTCAGTGAATACAGACATAAACCAACACTTCCTTTTTGTGTTATGGATGTTATTAAACCAATATTTAATGATTTATCGTAACCGAAAATTATAATTTTACTCACTGCGCGCAGCATTTCTCTGAAACGGCTAATCTAAAGTGCACCAAATTTTACATGGAATTTTATATGCTGGATATGCTTAATATGACGAACTAAGATGGCTGTTGTTTAAAATCTTTTAAAAATCGTAGCTGATTTATGCCTAAACAATTTGATAAAAATTTAAGTTTTGTGTTTAAAAAATTATTTTTGTAGGAAAGGAATATTTAAATAAAATAAATCTTTGCCATTTTAAAAATACATTATTTTTCTACCATATGAAAAAAATTGGGTATCTCTTATGCTTTATATAGTTGAAATGCTGCGCGCAGTGAATGTCAAAATATTAGCTATAAAAAAAGCTATTTATAACTATTAGCTATTTTTAACTACATTAAAATATTTATTTAAAAGTTTTACAAATGCAGGTGACTTATTTAGTAATCTTAAACAAATAACTAAGGGTACTGCTATATATGTTAAAAATTTCATTTTTATGGGACTATTAGTTTTGGAGATACATCACTTGTAATTTGAGAAATTTTTGGCATATTTTACCATTCAAAAGGTACCTGATCCCTTAATTAAAATAACATTTTCATTGCCTGTTTTCTTTCTGCCGAATTGAATAATATATTTGCAATAAATATATTTGTTAAAATTTGCCGAATTTCTGCTTTTATATAACACTGGTAATATTTAACCTTAAATAATTTTAACTGTATCATTCTAATAAAAAGTGTTTCTTGTGAATTTAATAATCAGGTTGACATGTTGTTCTATATTATTATTGTTCTTGTCAGTTTTCTTTTTGAAATTAAAGAGCATGTGCATGCAAAATATTGCAAAATTTCTTGGCATTTATTTAAAAATTTAATTGTTTAGCGTAGTTGTTTCATGTCATTAACCGTCCAAACACGAAGCATGGGTATTTCGATAATCATTTGCATGTTAGATAAGATCAAACAACTCTCGTTACTTTCAACATTTAGTAATCAAATAACGCAGGTACACAGAATTAAAATTGATTATTTGTATAAGTGAAACCATAAATGTCATTAAATTATTTCTTATTTATATCCTCGGATATAATTTTTGCACTTAAGTTTTCATAAACAATTTTTAAACACTCAGAAAGGAATTTTTCACATTTCCTAAGAATTCTGACTGCATCTTCTATGTTTCAAGAACTTACAAGAAGAATTTCACTGACGAAATAAGCTGTTTCAGTTATGCCTCAAAATTTTAAATTACTTATGTAAGCATTTCGACAAAGTTACATTTTAAAATATTCAGTATGTTAACATTTATGAAAAACGAATTTTAAAACTACAAGAACAACCCAGACATTTCATATTCAAATGATGAATAACTAAATCGTGATAAGGCGCTTCGAGAGTCTGAAATTTTTTCATATTTATAACTGCAACATTCACTTTGAAGTTCTATAAATTTCCAATCATTTCAGAGTTTGCTTTGAAATTTTAAGAATTCGCGCTTTTTCAGTTCTGAATTACCATTTCAGCTAGAAATATATTTTTGTACGTCCAGTCAATTTCTACTGATTTCCTAAGTTATTTGAAAGAATAAAAAAATATCTAACTTTTTATTGCAACTCCAAGCGATATGCAAAGAAAAGAGCTAAATATGATGTATAATATAGTTTCCAAAAGTACAATGCATTCTTAAATTCCTCCGACAAACAGAAATACATAACTTAAACACATTTTCATAAAACCTTATTGATAAAAATTCGCAAAATCGGAGTTCAAAAATCAGCAATAAAAATTTAAATTTGATCACTAAACACTGAATAGTTTAATTGACTGCTGAGCTTAAACTTGAATAATGAGGTTTAAAATTGGTTACTTAAACTGACTTCTGGTCTTAGATAGAAAACTTCCATAGTTCAGCATTTTTGTGATTTATTTAATTTCGTCACGGGACGGGAAAAAAATTACTAGAAAATTTTAAGACGTTTCTAAAATCCTAAAATCTCATTTCTGGAATATTTCAATATGTGGCCAGATCTGAAAAAATTTCAATAACAGGTTTCGTAAAAGTCTTAATAAACCTTTTCAGGTATTATCCTAGGTTCTGCTCAAAATATTTGCAAAATTCTAACAGTTAGCTATGTTTAAAATCCTTAACCTTAAAATCAAACATCAAAATATTTAATTATTACACAATTATAAATTTTTAATAACTCAAAAAATTTGTATCTTATACTTGATTACCAAGCAAGATATAATAAATAAGCATAAATAAATATAAATAAGTAATCCAAAACATTAAAAAAGTAAAAATGAATATAATACAGTAAAATAAGAAAAATATTTAGACGAATTTACAAGAGATGAGCAAAAATCAGTATAAAAGTATTAAATCACGTTAATGCTAGTTTATTTTCAAATAGCAAATAAATATTTTATTTTTTATCAAAGGTTACAATATACTGAATGGATATTAAAACTATATTTCATATTAAGCATTCTTTACTATAAACATTTGTCAAGGAATACTTTCTTGCGATGATTAAAAGTTTATAATAAACATTCTTATAACAACAAAAAGGGATAATTAGTTAAATTAATAGTGTGTGTAATGTAGTGCTTGTGCAGTTTATATGCTTTTTATATGCTTATATGCTTTTCATTTAATTTTCTAGCATAGTCAACAAAATTAGTGCTTAGACTATCATTGAGTAATATTAGTACATGAAGTAGTTTTCAAAAATTAGTGCTTAGACTATCATCATTCAATAATATTAGTACATGAGTAGTTTTCAAGCATCTGAAGGATAGTTCTCTTCTTACAGGTTGACTGAATGTGAGATCTGGCCTCTAGAAAAAAGGTTATCACCTAAATGAAGATTTTCTCCTGAAGTGAGTAAAAAAGTTGTCAAACTAGATTTTCAGCATTTGCTTTCCAGCATAAAATTTTTTTTCTAAAATATTTTAGTTTTAGTGATTCCTCGGATATCTTTTCGGAATTCTAAGATTGTTCTGAGCTAGGAAAACTTAAAAAATCGGACTAAAATGGTTCAGACTAAAACGGTTACTAAAATGTTTGTGTTTACTTTAATTTTTTCCCATAGTAAATACAGACTTTTCAGACAGCATTATTTTTTATGGTTATGTGTATTTTTGATGTTGTAACATTCACTTACAGCAACAAAATGAGAACATGTGTGACATTCTTCAGTTACAGGCAAATCAATTATTGTGACACACTGGCGTGTATTTATAGCGCTGCGTCTTTATTCTTAAGAAAAATTGAATTTAACTCATATATTTTAATTATTTGCTCCAAAATTCTGTACCTAAACTACTACTTAGAACATATAAACAATTGAAATTTCTTTTTAAATAATTTCTCAAAGAGTTTATAATTATTTGCATACTAATGGTATACAACAGATTTCATTTATAGGTAAAAGTTTTTCATCAAACTAAAGGTTGAGAATCTTCCTTTCCTAAACAGATATCGGAGACTACAGTCCTGAAAATTACTGAAATATCTTCTTATTTTTGTTGGCTATTCATTTAGATTTTCTTTTATTTCCATAAATCTGGAGAGAATATTTCACCGCCGCTGAAATTTATGAATTTTTGTATTAAAAATAATATTTATATGTTAACTATTATTTTTTTAGCTTAGTTTTTTATTGTCCATGTATTCTATGTTTTCCAAATATTTTGTGGACGTAGCTTTGAACATTTGGACTTATATCGCATTAAAAACAAGAATCTTATTTGAAATTTTGTCGTTTAATAATTCAGCTGACCTCGTTTTGAAAAGTTCATATTACGTGTTATCAGACGTGTTAAAATAAGACTGATTAAAACAGCGTTTTCAGGTTTTTACAGGGTTTGTTTCATGAAATATTTTAAAGCATATTAAGTTTAAAAACTCGGATAAATTCTAAACGAAGCTAATTATTATATTTTTAGAGACCTCTTAAAACATAATATAATTTTTAATTAGTGATATGTTTAAATTCCTTCTAATAAGGAAACATTTGTCCCGTTTTTGTAAAAATAACTTATTTAATAAGTTAATAATGGAAATTATTAATTTTTTTAATTAATGGAATAACTTATTTTATTGCATATAAATTGAGGATATTTCTGTAGCCTTTTTATACTGTACATGCATACAGCTTCAACATAGAATAATTAGAAATTTAAATTAGAAAGAAGATAAACATAAGAAATAAATTTAAGATAGTAAATCTTTTTCCCTTCTGATTTGTATTAGTTATAAATCTGAAGTGAAAAATATGTTACTGTGATGAAACTTTGAATTGCTCTCCTTAAAATACTTTTTTTGTAAATATTATGTGCACTTTAAACAAAATTTGTTAAATTACGGCGTACGTATATTGTATTATGTACAGTATATATGTTTTATGAAAAAGTATTAAAATGAAACGAATTAAGCTTAACTCTTAAAGCGTAGCTGGGAAAACGTAAAATTAATCTAATGCATAAATGTAAATTTATCACGTAAGAAGCATGAATATGTTACTTTGATTTAACCTTGTATTTGCTGAAAGTTATTCTATTAGCAGTAACATTAAGTGTACGTTATTTATTAGATATATTTCAGAAGAGTAGTTCATTGGAAGCACATGGTCGCATTTGGACAAAAGAATATTGAGGTTCTCTAATGCTTATTTGACAATACTTATTTATTTCTTATTGTTTTTAAGGCAGTTGTTTCATTATTATCTTACTCAGTGATGGTCGCTCTAGTTTTTAAGGCTTCTTTATTCCATTATTATGAATTTTAACAACGCATTTCAGGAAATCTTAATTTTTTTTTTTTTCCTGTATTATACACAACTTCGTCATTGAACTATGATTTTGGAACTTCAAATAAGGAATCTCCTATTAGTATACAAAAATCTGCTTGTTATTACCGAAATGTGCAGCAAAAGCTTTACATATTATTGCGTTCTATGGGTTCGTGGATTTGGAGTAACTGATGATAACACTTGATGAAGAACCAAAATCTAATCAAAATCAGCAATTTATTCGCCAGTATTACACAGAGCATATCCAAAGACACGTTTACAGTCGTCGAAAGACTACGATAAACAAGCTGAAAAAATAAGCAACACAGCCTTCAGGCTATAAAGATGAAGAGAGCTTCACGTCAAATCACTAAAGTACAGCTCCCGACTCTGTCAGTTATTCTGAAGCTAATCTCTGAACTTAAGGTGCTACTTTCTCTATAGAACTTTAACATATCTTCGAGAATATTTCCGAGAAAACCGCTAGGAATGCATTTTAGAATGCTCTCGCTCCGGCTAAGACATATCGCCAAGTGTTGATTTCGCGCCAAATGTTGAAGCATTGCCTTTATTGGACAATTTCTGGTAACCCTAAGTCCACCGTTTATATACCTCACCGGCATTTCGCAATAATACATTCATTTGCATTTTCTCGTTATTAAATGGCTGCAAAATTTACAAATATATCGGAGCGTAAAATGCTAAGAGGGCTTTTGATTTCAGCCATTTCAGCCAGTGTGTTGGTCGATCGGATTACATGATTGAGCGAATGGAGCAGATGGTTATGGAGGACCACCGATTGACCGTGGACGCCATAGTGAGGTGTATCACAGTGAAAACTATGTAAAATAAAAACGAAGGGTAAAAACAGCGTCGTATCATGGTAGAAAAGAAGCAAAGAGAAAATGTCGCAGTTCTATTCCGCTATTAAATAACTTGGTAAAAATAAAGCAATGACCCAAAACTTCGCAAATGAAAAACATCTTTTTACAAAATATTCTCAAAATATTCTGGTAAAATAGCACCTTATTAATAAATCTTCGCAGCCTATAAAACCTCTTCGTCCAAAATATTTTGATAAAAAATAACTCACCTAACAACAAACTGCGGGACAAAAACATCGCAGACATACATTTTCAATTTTTTAAAATTTCAAATTCATATCTGATCTTGCAGTATGCAGTTATTTATGACGGCGAGAACAAATAAGGCATATATTTACACATAGTAATATTAAATTTTTGAACTGATTAATAATTTGTCCCTGAAAAATTAAAAATTAAAGTAGAACATTCGAAAGCAAAAAACGAGCAGAAATTATAGTTATATTTAGCAGAAAATATTTGAAGCTTACGTAGTTAGCAATTAAGAATCATTATCTAAGCAATCTTTTTTGTAAAAATGCATTAGAAATATTTTATGATAAAAATTCAGTACAAAAAAGAGAGGAAAGAGGGCGATGAATAGTGTAAAGTTACTTAGGCTGAAAATTTTTAATTAATTATCAAATTTTAAAAAGTTGCCTCTCACGGTTGCTCATGTGATACTTTTTTTCAGGAAGGACTGCGGTTTTTGTCTGCTTCAATTTAATAACGGAGTATAAAATGGATCAAGAAAAAAATATTTTAATACCATAAAGTTACTTATGTTAAAAGCATTTAATTAATTATCAAATTCTAAAAGCATTTCCTTTTACTTTTAAAACATTTTATTTTGTCTGCTATTCTTTCACCAAATGTTTCATGTTGTTTTACTTCAGTTTATTCAACTTTCTAGAGCGCTGTTTGTTAACATTTTCATAAAAATGAACAATTTGCTGCTTGAAATGATAAATTATGTTAAGGTGAGTGTCTAATATTTCACTGCGGAAAAATTAAAGAACACGTATTTGTATTTACATCATACAGCGCGAAGAGTGAAATTCAAAATTATTTCTAGAAAATTACGTGTAAATGTTTTGAAAAATAAAATAAATGACTTAATATTCCCATTTAGGTGCTTTTAAGAAGTTTACAATATATTATTTCATTTCTTCAAAGGTATGAATTTTATTTTGCCCTTTTAGAATCTATTTGCTCTTTTTATTAAATTCCTTTTATACAAATATGGACTATAAATATTTATTTATTTGTTGTACAATATATATAGGTAAAAGATATACATATATATATATGGGTAAAACTAGGTTTCAAGTTTTTATGATTATGATTTTATGTCTGGGTTCGTGGATTTGGAGTGATTGATGACAACACTTGTTGAAGAATCAGACACAATTTATTTAGCCAGTATTACTCAGAACAGCTCCAAAATGACGTTTACACTCGTCGAAAAACTACTATAAACACGCTGAAACAATCAGCAGCACAGCCTCAAGGCTATAAAGGTAGAGACAGCTTCACGGCAAAACGCCAGAGTACAGCTCCCGACTCGGTTCAGTCGTCTGGGAACTCTACGTACTCTCGCGACTCTCCACACTACAACTCGCGATGCACTCGACAGTGATGCACACTCTCGATGCGCCAATTCGACAGAAGGCTAACGACAAAACTCAATAGACTCGCGATCGACTTCTACTGCGCGTACAGGCAGGATTTATATTGCTTTTGGACTGCTTTCGAGAACATTCTGGGCCAAACTGTTCTAGAAGAATTCGTTCTGGAATGTTCCCCATCCGTCTATGGTATATCGCGCATTTTGTCGCCAAATGGGCAATTTCACGCCAAATCTGACAAGCCTGCCTTCCCTTGCCATTTTCTGGCAACCCTAAACCCGCTTTGCTGAGAAGCTATCTTGCCACAGTTCGACATTTCGTAACACTATACATATATATATAGGCAAAAGATTATATAGTAACTACATAAACCCGCGAAACACTGACAGTTCATAACTGGTGACTGAAAGAGCTGGCCGCACTTTGTTTTCCCGATATATGAAATAAATATGAACCTGGTTTTTCGAATGTTTTCCGTACTCTATTTTCTCATGAAAAATTCCAAAGACGATTTTATAAAAAGAATTAATTCACTAAGGATTCTTAATAACTAACTACAGAAGTTCAAAATTAAACTACTGCTACATTTATCGTAA